CACAGCCATGGGTGAACCTGAGCGGGGGGCAGTGAAGGATGGAGAAATGACAGACAAGAGAATAAAGCTGGGGCCGGGTGGGACGCTGGTCTCGGATGGAGAGACAGCACCTCAGCCTGCAAACCAGGTCTTTATTTTATAGCCGGATCCCACGAGGCAGAGGAAGGGCAGGTCAAGATGTTTACAATGTTCTTGGGGGCTTCGAATCTACTCAATCACCTGCACCTGGTCAAGCTTTTGTTTACTTGCTGCACCTTCCGCAGCCCACATCACTCAGCCTCCTGGGAGCTGCTCTCCACAGTACCCTCTCCCACCCACCCCCCCTTCCCGCTGCCCTGACAGCTGCCCCTGGCTGGAGGCAGCTTGGCCCAGGAAACCTCTTCCAGGAACAAGACTTCGGAGAGCCCAGCTCAGCCAGCTGCCAGCCAGCACCCCGGTCCCACGGCCCTGCCCCCTGCACGGCTGGCTGAGGAGCTAATGAGCACCCACCGGGGTCGTAAGGCTGCGCGGGGTTAATGGGTTACCCGACCCCGTGACACCTCCACCGCCTCCCGGGCTCTCAAAGTCCAGCGCCTGTCCTTCAAGGCCTGCGCTCTGGCCCATCCCTGCCAGCCTTGACGCCTGGGGAGGGCGCGGCTCCCGTCACCCTCTCTGCTCCCGGAGATGCCTCCAGCGCCAGGTCCCCAGGCCCAAGGGGTTCTCTCCCCCAGGCCTGGCCTCCCCAGTGCCATCCCAGCTCTGCCTGGATGCCCCCCTGACCCCCAGGATGTCTGCCCCTCCCTCGGGGCCCTGGGGTCTTCCTCCTTCATGGCTAACCGTACTATTCCACCCACAGTCTGACTGGGGCTCCTGGAGAGAGGAATCTAGATGGGCCAGGATCCGATGGGCGAATGAATGAATGAATGAATGAATGGATTTAAGCCAGGGCTGTGCTCGTGGGGGCAGTTCTGGCAGACAGCGGGCCAGCTGTGGCCCTCAGAGGCACAGGAAGGCTTGGGCTGGCCAGCCCTGGGGGCACCCACCCCATGCCATGGATGGGCAGGAGCAGGGGCAGGAGTGGGTGATGGCCCATCTCTCACCTCCACTGCCTTGTGTCCTCCATTGGTCTGTCTGCTCACAACTCCAGAAAGTTGGGGGATGAGGAAAGGGTCCCTGGGGTCATGTGACTCCCTTCAGGTCAAGTGACCTGGGTCCTTGGAGGGACCGCCTCCAGGGTCAGGGGGGTCAGAGAGAGGGCCTGCGTAGAGGCGCGGCCCAACCCCGACCCCGGGGTTGTAGAGAGAACCTTAGGCCCCTCGGACCTGGTGGGGACGAAGCTGCTTATACCCACACCCCCGCTCGTACAGGCGTCTGGCTCCACCCCGTGCTGTGTGACCTCCTCTCTGGATATCGTAAGTTGGGGGGAAGCTCACCTCCTTTCAGGGGACCCTGGGTCTGATCTGCCTCTGCTGGACACGCAAGCCCACGCAGCCCTCCTGCGGCCCAGGAGCCTCGGGTCTGGGTCAGGGTGTGGAACCCCACTGAGTCCGCGAGGCCACAGCCCTCCTCCCACCTGGGGTGGCTCCTGTGCCTTTAAAGCCTTCCCCCACCGGCCAGCAGGGAGGGAGGGTGGAGCTGCCCAGCTGGGCTCCGGGACTCAGTCCTGTGCTGGGCAGCAGGAGGCCCTGCCCGCGCGCCAGGTGAGCTGGGATGGAGGGGGCTCTGGCATCCCGACCCTGGGGCTGTCACCCCAAAGCACATCTCCCCCCGGGGAGCTGCTGGACGTCATGGTGGGGGAGACGCTCGGGCTTGGGGCCTCCCAGAACGTCTGGGGGCCCGGGGTCCAGCCCCAGCTCTGCCCACCGTCATGTTCCCGGGTGAAGGGAGTGAGCTGCCCTTCGGGGTGGCAGGACAGGGCTCCTGGGGACGGGCCAGCAGGGGGGTCCCGCAGGTGGGCAGAGCCCTGGGCTCCCGCAGGGTTGGCTGTGCTCCTTCTGCCACAGGTGTGGGCGGAGGAGGCGGGTGCGGCCGCCTGGCTTCTCTGAAAAGGCTTTGGAGGAAGTGGGCTTCTCGGAATTGAGGGGGAGGGTGCCCCGTGGAGAAACTGAGCCTGGGAGGGTCTGGCGGGCAGAGGGGAACGGGGTCACAGCAGTGGGGCGGGGGTCAGGCCTGGAGCGAACTGGGGCCGTACTCTCGAGGTGCCCTCGCCCCGCTGCGGCTCTGGCTGGGCTGTGGGGGGCGTGGGGCAGGGTCGGTTGTGCAAGGGTCATTGCACAACTCTAGGGGTGCCCCTCGCTTTTGGGGTGTCTCCAGCCGATTTCAACAGGTTTCCGGCAGATAGTGGTTAGAGGTCTGGTCTGATTCTCAGCCTTGGGCTGCCAGGTGGGCATCGGGGAAGGTCAGCTTCCCAGGCGGCCGTGCGGCTAGGGCGGAGGAGGCTGCGAGGTGGGTGACTCCTCGCTGTGGGCACAGTGGTTTCGGGGGGCCGCCTGGTTGCCAAGCTGCTTCTTCCTAAGCCTGGATTTCCTGCCTGAGAATGGGTTTGGGGCTGGGCCCGTTTTCAGCCTGTGGCTCTGGGGTTGCGATGACACAGCCCTGGGCTGAGTTGGAGGATTAACAGAAGAACTCGGAGCTGGCTGCTCTGCCCTCTTCCTTACCCTCCTCTCCGCCGCGCCCCGAACTCGCTTGGCTCAGCCTCAGTTCCGCTCGCTCGGGGGTGAGTAGAGGTGTTGGGACGGGGTGGTGCTAATGGCAGAGTCAGAATTCTTGGGTGGCCCGGCCGACATGGCTCAGTGGTTGAGCATCGACCCATGAACCAGGAGGTCACGGTTCCATTCCTGGTCAGGGCACAGGCCCAGGTGGCAGGGTCCATCCCCACCCAGCAGGGGGCATGCAGGAGGCAGCTGATGGATGATTCTTTCTCATCATTGATGCTGCTACCCCTCCCTCCCTCCCCCTCCCTTCCTCTCTCTGAAATCAATTAAAAAAAAAAACACCCAGCTTGGCCAGTTGGGCTCAATGGATAGAGCGTCAGCCTGTGGATCGAAGGGTCCTGGGTTTGATTCCCAGTCAAGGGCACACGCCTGGGTTGCAGGCTCCATCTCCAGTGGGGGGGGGGCCTGCAGGAGGTAGGCGGTCAATGACTCTCTCTCATCATTGATGTTTCTCTCTCTCTCTCTCTCTCTCTCTCTCTCTCTCCCTCCCTCCCTTCCTCTCTGAAATCAATAAAAAATTGTATAAAAAACAACAAAAAACATCCCACCACCTAAGAAAAAGAGCATGTGTGTGGGTGAGGCTTGTACGTTTTTGGAGATGGGGAGCTCCCCCCTTTCTGTGCCTAGGTCGGGGGGGCATGGGGTCTGGAGGAGACCCCCAGGCCAGCCCCTGCAGCCTGGCCGGGGAGGCCAGGGTCTCCTAGACCCCCAGCCTGTGTGCAGGGGAGGGAGGCCAAGCCGGACAGAACGGGACAGACTCCTCCTGCGTGTCACGCCTCTATTAACATGGGGCTCCTCTCCTGCTCCCCGGCCTGGGGGAGAACTGAGCAGGCTCAGGTAGGGGCGGAGCCCTGTGGCTCTCCTCTGCCGACCCCTCCCCTCCGGCCCACAGCCCTGCAAGGCAGCCCCTCAGGCAGGGCCGGTCCCCCCCCTCCCCATGTTGATGTTCCTGGCTGGTGCCCGGCCCTCGGGCACAGGCCCTGGGCCTGGGGCCTCGGCTCCTTCCCTGTCCGTCTTCCCACTCACTCTGGTCCGCAGCTGGGGTGATGCCCAGGCCGATTGGCAGCTGTGGCGTCTCTGGGCCACTCCAGGGCCGCGGGTACCAGGACAAGGCTCGCTTTGGCTGCGTGACCCGGGGCGGGCGGCCCTGTCTGCTCGGCCTCTGTGTCCCCTGTCTGTCGGGTGGCGCAGCCCTGCAAGGCGGGTGTGGATTCGCTTTAGAGACTTGGAAGGCGGGGCGGCTGGCAGCTCTCAGGGGGATGAGGAAAGGGGCTAGACACCTGGCCAGGGAGCAGGTGGGAGCCACGACCTAGGAAGTGGCTGAACCTTATCCCCGTTTTTATCAGATAAGGGCCTGGGGGGAAGGGGGAGTCGTGTTCAAGGTCCCCAGGGCCCAGCCGGAGCGGCTCCTGCCTCCGCTCCTCCTGGGAGGTGCCGCCCGGATCTCAGGCCCAGTTCCGAGGCCCCCTGAGCAGCGCTGCGGGGGGGCAG